AGATTTACCACGCGCCTTGGAATTTGTTTTTGGGATGACTGTACCCAAGTCGCACCACCGTATACTTGGCGAATAAATTACATATTTTTCAAAAATAATCAATGTAATAATTAGGAAATGATTTGGAAAAATTTAGAAACGCTTTTTCATNTTTTCAAAAATAATCAATGTAATAATTAGGAAATGATTTGGAAAAATTTAGAAACGCTTTTTCATAATTTGGAAACAAATAGTTATTCAGTAATTATTAAAAAACTGTTGGACCGTATACTTGGCAAACATTGACCGAAATTAATAAAATTTCACTTTAATCGATGTAGAACAATTTGGAAATCATAGTGAGAATGTTTTTTTTATTTGGAAATGAAATATTGCATCGAAAATTAATAAAAAAGGAATGAAGTTATTATTGTTCTGGAGTCACATGACCGAGTCTTCCCCTTCCCATCACTTAACCATTTACATATAATAAAAGTGAGGTTATGTCCCTCTCGCGAACCTGAATGTTCCCCTGTCACGTACCTTTAAACAATCTCCTGAAAATTATGAGTTAGTGGTTGAATGAAAAATTGACGACATTTAAAAACAAAATCACTGGACCCCTGATAAAACATGAAAGGATTTATAGAGAGGCAGACAGTGTCGGAGTGTTTCGTTGCTGAAATCTCTAAGCATCAGAAGCCCAAAGCCCCCAGGAAAGGAAAATCCATGGAGATGAAATACTAAAAAAAACCCTCCGAATTGCCTAAAATCAGAACTAAAAAAGCTGGCGAAATCTCCGAAAAATGAAGAGACAGATAACAGATAACTGGCAGGAGACGTTCGAGCTCTCCAGTGGACGAAATGGGCTGCCACAAAAGTGCTCGGACGAAAAAGCGAGTCTTTCAGATTTTCGATTCCAGTTGCTGCTAGATCTTGTGTTGATCAGTCAAACAAAGGATTAGGTGACATACGCAGCTATGGAGAGACTCCAAAATTATGGGTGTACTCCGGATCTTCTGATCAAGACTCCTGACAGTGTTCTTAGGAAATTAATTCATCCTGTTAATTTTTATGAGATGAAAAGTATTCGAACCTTCTGAAAAGTTTGGAAAAGTAATGAGCTATTCGATCACTGTGAATAGTTTTCTGAAACTGTTGGTTTTAAAGGGAAATGTTAAAAAACATTTTTCAAAGACGTGAAATTCTCTACAAAAAATGTCCCCTCTCGATTTTTTTAAAGCTGTGTCTTTCATATATTTTGACAGAAGGAATGAAAAACCAGCTTAGAACTCCTAAACCTATTTCTAATCCTGTTTAGATTTAACCTGTTAATTTTTATAAGATGAGGATATTGTTTCAATAATTATGCTACAAATATTTATGAAACTATTGGGTTTAAAGGAAAATGTAAAAAAAATATTATTTCAAATATTGACAAAAGGAATATATCATCCTTTTTGGAAATGTTTTTGTGAACAAGATTGGATCCTAATTTTTTTATAATTTTTTTCAGCCCGAAGTCCAGTATATTAAGAAAAATCTGTAAAGTCCTCCTTTGAGACCGCAAAGGTGACATTCCAGACACAATCGGAGGACTTTGCTCTTTTCGAAAAGTCACCCTGATCNGCTACAAATATTTATGAAACTATTGGGTTTAAAGGAAAATGTAAAAAAAATATTATTTCAAATATTGACAAAAGGAATATATCATCCTTTTTGGAAATGTTTTTGTGAACAAGATT